ATGGAATGGAAACTATGAGATTTAGAGATTCCCCCCACAACTCTTTCTTGGGACCCCTGTAGGCACTTAGATGTCTGAGATCTTCACACACCTCTTGCCTTACCTATGCTCCCTCTCCTTGACATAAAAGAAGCCTGAATTCTCTGCTCTCTTAAGATGGATTTGAAAAAGCCCTAAGGGCCCCCAACTTCCTGAGCTGGCACCTTTTCGATTGATAAACTTTTCTTTACTCCAAACTCTGACATTTTGAATATTGGTCTTTGAAACATTGGGAATATGTATCTTGAATCAGTAACACTTAGGCTTGTTCCATGCAGAATAGCAAAAGTGGTGTATAGAGAGAAGCTATGCCAAGTCCAGTGTTCATTTAGAGATTTCCCACTTTTCCTTGGATCCCTGTAGGCACCTAGATGTCTAAGGTCTTCTTTTTGGGAGGATGGGTAACAAAGCTGGTAGCAACTGCCACAAGGGTTATGATACTTGCCCTGCCTATCTGTCTCCACTTTACATATAGAGTCAGTCCAAGTTATGGGAGAGTGGTAGTATGGTGAAGTCAAGCAGTGGGTTTTGCACTCTCCACATCTGAGTCTGAGCCCAAGGTGGGGGGACCTCTTATTCTCTGTGATTTCCCTCCTTACTGCAAATCCTACTTGCATCTGGGTGGTATGGAATGTGGGGCCTTTTCTGGGGATGCAGGCAGAGCAAAAGATGAGAAAAATGTTCCTACCAAGCCAGCAGTACCTGTTTACTCACATCCCAACACCATGGGAGACCAGGCTAGCCCCAGGGCTTTGCTGACGTCAGGGCATTGGGCCTCAGGTCATCAAATTTTAGGACCTCCCTATTTGTCTCCTTTGAATTCTTTTTTCCACAAGCATTTGAGACTTGGCTGAGGATCTAATTCTAGGGCTGTAGGAGGTCTCTACACTTCAGTCTCCTGACCCAGAAGGAAAAAGTACTCTTCTTTTCACTTTGTTTTTCCCCACAAACCTTTTAAAATGTGAAAACTGCCCTGGCTGGTATTGCTCAATGGATTGAGTGCTGGCCTGTAAACCAAGGGGTCACCAGTTCAATTCCCAGTCAGGGCACATGCCAAGGTTGCAGGCCAGGTCCCTATTTGGAGGCATGCGAGAGGCAACCACACATTGATGTTTTTCTCCCTTTCTTCCTCCTTTCCCCTCTCTCTAAAAAAATAAATAAATCTAAAAAAAATGCGAAAACCATCCTTGGGTTCTCAGGCAACAGCCAGGGAGCTATAGTTTACTGGCCCCTGGACTACAAATTCAAGAGCAAGAAGAGCTTGGTCAAACTAACTATTGGATATCCACACAATGGAATACTATGTACTCATTAAAATGTTGAAACAGGCTGGTGTGGCTCGGTGGGTTGCGAATTGTCCTGCAAATGGAAAGGTTGCTGGTTCAATTCCCAGTCAGGGCACATGCCTGGGCTCCAGTTGGGGGTGTGTGAGAGGCAGCTAATCACTGTTTCTCTAACGCATCAATGTTTGTCTCCCTTCCTCCCTCCCTCCCCCTCTCTCTGAAAGTAAATAAATAAAATCTTTTTTTTTAAGAAATATATTAAAAAATAAAATGTTGAAACAGCTTTCAGCTTTAGGCTTAAAGGAGGTGTAGGTGCAACTTTCTTTGGTCTTCCTGAATCTGGTTTATCAGACACCAGCTGCCTCCACCATACTGCCTCAGTTCCACCCCAGTGACATCAAAGTCATATACCTGAAGTGCACTGGTGGGGAGGTCAGTGCCACATCTGCCCTGGCCCCCAAGATCAGCCCCCTGGGACGTCTCTAAAAAAGGTTGGTGATGACATCGCCAAAACAACCAGTGACTGGAAGGGTCTGAGGATTACAGTGGAACTGACCATTCAGAACAGACAGGCCCAGATTAAGGCAATGCCTTCTGCCTCAGTCCTGATCACCAAAGCCCTCACAAGACCACCATGAGACAAAGAGAAGCAAAAAAACCCCCAAAAAACCCAACAACATTAAGCACAGTGGAAATATCACTTGTGATGAGATTGTCAACATTGCCCAATAGATGTGTCACCGATCTTTAGCTAGAGAACTCTCTGGAATCATTGAAGAGATCCTGGAGATGGCCCAGTCTGTGGGCTGCAATGTTGATGGCTGCCACCCTCATGACACCATAGATGACATCAGCAGTGGTGCAGTGGAATGCCCAGCTAGTTAAGAGCTGCAAAGGAGCCCTGGCTGGCATGGCTCAGTGGATTGAGCGCAGGCTGCGAACCAAAGCATCGCAGGTTCAATTCCCAGTCAGGGCACACGCCTGGGTTACAGGCCACGGCCCCCAGCAACTGCACATTGATGTCTCTCTCTCCTCTCTCTCTCTCTCTCTCTCTCTCTCTCTCCCTCCCTCCCTTCCCTCTCTAAAAATAAATAAATAAATAAATAATCTTAAAAAAAAAACTATAACGGTGTTTAAAAAAAAGAACTGCAAAGGAAAATATTTCAATTAAAGATTATTTTACAACCACAATAAATAAAGAAAGAAAGAAAGAAAGTTAAATGTTGAAACAGAAGAATTTATGATAATGGGTCACTTCTATGGAGCACTTATCAAGTGCCAAGCCCTGTATTAAGCACTTAGATACATTAGTTCCTATAAACCAGTGAGATAGGTGGTAGTATGTTAACTTTACAGGTAAGCAAACAGAAGCTCTAGGTGGTCCAGATCACATAACTAGAAGGTATCAAGGAATGAAACCAGGTCTTCTGACAGGAATGAGTTGCTCTGACTGCACAGGGTGCCCAAGAAAAATGTCAATTATAGTGAAATCTGTTAGTGAGGGAAGATTTATTGGGAAAGTGAAGTTTTTTTCTTTTTGTTTATCCATATTTTCTTATTAAAAATGTACATGAACAGGTTAGAGAAATTATGAGGACATATAGTCACTGGATACAAACAATGGAAAATAAAATCAGACTCAGAAGGTCACATATTATATGATTCCTTCTATAGGAAATGTCCAGAAGCTGTATCTATAGAGACAGAAAGTAGGATTACTGGTTGTCTGGGGCTGGAGGTGGGGGCAGGGACTGACCACAAATGGGCATGAGGAATATTTTGGGGGCAAAGATAATGTTCTAAAACTAGATTATGGTGAGAGTTGTGTACTTAAAATGGGTGAATTTTATAGCATGTAAATTATATTTTAATAAAGCCTTTTTTAAAAAATCAAGAGTGGAAAACTTTTACTTTTTATAAAGAAATATATTTTTAAAGATTTTATTTATTTTAGAGAGATGGGGAAGGGAGGGAGAAAGAGAGGGAGTGAAACATCAATGTATGGTTGCCTCTAGCACACCCCATACTGGGGATATGGCCTGCAACCCAGACTGGGAATCAAACTGGTGATGCTTTGGTTCACAGGCCTGCGCTCAATCCACTGAGCTACACCAGCCAGGGCAAGAGTGGAAAATTTTTAAAAATCAAAAGCTGGAAGGAGAAAAGTTTACCTAATTAGGAGCCTAAGAATATAAAATCAATTTATGGAATAAGTTCTCTAATTTAGGAATTTGACCTTAGCAGATTTCCTGCAGGCTGTGCTTCTGTGTGTTAGCTGATCATGTCAGTGACTCCCTCATTCAAAACCCTTCAACGGCTCCTAACTAGCTTGAGTTAGCATCCTATAAGTCTCAATGGATCCACCGCCATGTTTGTTCTCAGTGCTCCAGCCACACTAGTCTTCTCTCTGCATCTTTGAAGTCACTACTTATCTTGCCTCAGGGCCTCCAGGAAGTTCTTTCCTCTGCCTGGAAATGCTGTTTCTCAACAGCATCTCCCCCATTCCCCTCTCCAAAAGCGGCAAACTCCTCATTCTCCATATCTCAGTTCAGATGTCACTTCCTCAGGTAGGCCCTCCTAAACCTCCCCACCCCTCACTAGGTTAGCTCCTCACACTATTATACTCTTTCAAAGCATGTGTACTTCTCTGCAAAACGTCATAATCATTATTAATGAATGAGTTGTAAACTTAGTTGTCCAATAATATTCCCCAGCCAGAATGTCACATATGTGAAGGCAAGAAGCCTGTCTGAATCTTGTATACCATTTACATATTTGATATCCAGTATAGTACCTAACACATAGTAGGCATTCAATCCATATTTGTAGAGCACTTCACAATTTATGTAGTACTTGTGTATATACAATTAAGCACCTACTGTGCTTATTAAGCACCTACTGTGTCCTTGGATATGCAAATAGGAGTAAATGAAATAGCCTGCTCCTGTCCATTCTAGAGGTGACTGTACTCTCCCAAGTAGGACAAGGATAATCTTCCTATTTTACAGGTAGTCTAAGCTTATATCACTTGTAAGGAAGAAGCAGAACCTTCTGAAACTGAAATGAAACTCCTCCTGATAAGATCATAGACTGCCGACAGGATGGGTTTACTGCAGGTGGGTGAGAGGAGGGGAGGTGGTTCAGGGAGATGGATTTTGAGAGGCCATGAAGCTTTGGCATTTGAAGGGTGGAGGGAAGAGGGTGCAAGTTTGTCAGAGGACAAGAGGAAGTTTCCATCCTTCAGATGACTGGGTATGTATGGCTCCTCTCTTAAAACCAACCAAACCTGGCTACTGAGCTCTCCTTTTGGTCCGTATCTGGGATATTGGGATCAGTGACCACAGACAGGAAATGACGATCACATAAAAATTGTGTTTCTATACACTCACAATCCAAAAAAGATTTTAAGATAATTCCATTTACAGTAATATCAAAAAGAATAAAATATTTAGGAATAAATTTAATCAAGGAGGTGAAACTTAACCGAGGAGGAGTGTAAGTTGTATACTGAAAACTATAAAAACATTGCTGAAATTAAAGACACAAATAAATGGGAAGATGTTCCATGTTCATCAATCAGAAGACTTAGTATCATTAAGATGTCAATACTAGCCAAAGTAATTGGTGGATTCAATGCAATCTCTATAAAAATCCTTTTTTTAAACACTTTTTTTACAGAAATAGAAAAACCCATTCTAAAATTGAATCTCAAGGAACCCGGAAAAGCTGAAACACTCTTGAAAAAGAACAAAGTTGCAAGGATACTCTTCCTGATTTCAAAACTTACTAGAAAGTTACAGTAAGTAAAACATTGTGGTAGTAGTATAAATACAGACATGTAGATTAATGATAGAATAGAGCCCAGAAATAAACTCTGACATCAGATTTAAAAAAAATTATTTTTATTTAAAAAAATTTTTTTTGAAGATTTTTAAAAACTTAATTTTAGAGAGGGGAAAGGAGGGAGAAAGAGAGGGAAACATCAATGTGTGGTTGCCTCTCGAACACCCCCTACTGGGGGCCTGGCCCCCAACCCAGGTATGTGCCCTGACTAGGAATCGAACCCGAGACCCTTTGGTTCTCAGGCTGGCGCCCAATACATTGAGCCACATCAGCCAGGGTTATTTATTGATTTTTGGAGGGACGGAGGGAAGGAAGAAATATCAATTTGTTGTTCCACTTATTTATGCATTCATTGGTTGTTTCTTGTATGTGCCCTGACCAGTGATTGAACGGGCAACCTTGATATACTCAGCTGATACTCTTAACTGAGCTACGAGAAACTAGGGCCTCCAGCTGGCATTTCTTGAGTGCTTACTACATTCCAGACATTATTCTAAGTCCTTTTGTGTATTCTAAGTTCTCATTTACCCTTAATAAACCCCTGTGAGTGAAGTATCATTACCATCTCCCTTTTACAGATGAAGAAACTGAGGCCGAGACAGAGACTGATCCAAGGTCACAGAGCCATCAGGACTTGAATCTTGTCCTTTCTGACTCCAAAACCAGAAAGCCAGACTTTCATTTTGGTCCTGGTGGTGCACAGTAGGTAAGGAAGGAGCTGGGTTTGAGGAGGAGGTGGATTCACTTGACTGTATCTAGATTCATTCCAGACTTTTTTCCTTGCACCCACTACAGAACTTCCTCCTTTTCTGTCTTTGCCTCCTTTTCGGATTCACCCTCTGTTAGTGGCTGCTGGCTCCTGAGAATGTGATGCCAAAGGGTGGGGTAGGCTGTGGGGGTGGGGAGGTAGACCCACAAGTGCAGGCAGTCCTTAATGAACCAATTTTTTTATTGCTTTCTATATGCCAGGCAATGTTTAGAGGCTGTAGTCCTGTCGTGAATAAAATAGATCTTGTACCTGCTCTCAGGGATATTTCATTGCAGAGTGTGTGTGTGTGTGTGTGTGTGTGTGTGTGTGTGTGTGTGTGTTGGGGGGTGAGGAGTGAGGAGTAGAGAGGAGGACAGGGTAGAAAGGAGGGGAAATGGGGGAGGAGAGGAAAGTGAACACAAACCAGGAACAAGATAGGTCAGGTGTCATAGGATTATAAAGGAAATGTGGGAGAGGGACTGACAGGGGACACACCTGAGACAGCGAGAACAGAAAAGGCCTGGCTCAGGAGCTAAGACCTAAAGGATGAGAAAGAGCCAGCTGAAGATCTGGAAGAAGAGCATTCCAGGATTTTATGGGGAAATGGCGAGGGCAAAGGCCATGAAATATGTGTTTTAGAGGAAACTGGAGAAGTCTGGAAAGGCTGTGGCAGAGTGACAGAAACAAAAGGAGTCAAGAGACAATCCCAGTGCCAGCTCATGTAGGGTCTTGTAGACCACGATGAGGAGTTCAAGGTTAATTCTAAGGAGAAGGAGGACATTGGAGGAATCAAGAATGAAGACTGTGGGGTGGTGAACACACAATATAGTGTACAGATGATGTGTTATCGAACTGTGCACCTGAAACCTGTATAATTTTGTTAACCAGTGTCATCCCAATAAATTCAGTAAAAAGAAGGAAAAAAAAAAGAATGAAGACTAGAAGGCAGCAGGACAGCAAGTGGGGAGACCAATTAGGACATTTTGGCTGTAATGTAACAAAGGCAGGTGATGATGGTGGTCCAGACCAGCTGGGATTCAGAGAGGTGGTATGAGGGAGCTTGGGAGATGACTGAATGATGAGCGTGACAGTCTTGGCGGTGAAGGAGGAGGACAAGAGGAGAAGTTAGTTTAGTGTTGGGGGCAGAGGGCAGTTTAAGGAAAGGTAGGGACAAAAATTATGAATTTGGTTGTGGACATGTCGAGTCTGCAGAGTCAGTGGCTGGCTAGGCAACACTGTTCCAGGTTAGAAGCAGATACCTGGCAGGAGAAACTAGGGGCTGCCACCTGGGAACCCATAGGCCATACTTTTTCACAGATGGATAATGTTTGAAGGTTTTTTTTTATTGGCTATCAATATTTATAAATTCAGAGATATCAAATAAACTCAGGATTTCTACCTCCTCTTCCAAATTGGATAGTCTGGCCACACAGGGCCAAGGTCCTGGGAAGTCCATGGCAGGCTGATAGAGGAGCTGCTGCCCCTCCAGATGGACTGGTCGGCCCCCAGCAGGACTGCTGCAGATTCCACTCAAGGCCTGGACCTGGCAGCACTAGAGTTTCCAACTCCAGAATGGGCAGAAGGTGGCACCCTAGAAGAGGAAAAAACTGACCTGGCCCAGAGCCTGGACTGTGGACAGACCATCAGGAGCGGCAGCTCTGCAGCTTTTCAGCCATGTAACCAGGTGCCACTTAATTTCACTGAGCCTGCCCTGTGTCTTCTGGAAAGTGGGGATAGCCCTCCCTACTTGGAATTCCAGCTATGGGAAAGTTCCTAGTGGCAGACACGGAGAAGGGGCTCGAGCAATGCTAGTTTCTTTTCCCTTTAATCCGAAGAAAAAATCAGAGTGGTTAGTACTGGCTTGACCACTTACCAACTGTGCAAGCACAGTTTTCCTCTATATGAGATGGGAACACTGTTAGTACATAACTTGTGGGGAATAAATAAGTTAATAAAGTTAATATAAAGTGTTTAAAATGGCATGGCACTTAGTATGTATTAGCCATTATCGTTGCTGCTGTTGCTATCACTTAGCATGGAATAAATATGCTCAAGAGCCAGCAGAGCCACGGTTCTTGTACCTGGCTGGCCATTAGAGTCATCTAGGAGAGTTTTAGAAAATATCATGTCTGGGCTCTACCCTCAGAGATCCCACCTGACTTCATCTGGGATGGGATCCTGGTATGGGTGTTTTATAAAATCTCCCCAAGTGATTCTATATAGCCAGGGATATAAGATCCACAGTGGAGGGGTCACTAGGAGCTTGGACTCTACATGCAACTGCCTTTGTTCAAATCCATCCAAGCCAACATATAGATGCATGAACTTGGGAAAGTTCTCAACTTCTCATATTAAACTGGGTTAATAATAGGACTTGGGACGTTGTATAAATTTAAAGTGCTTAAAGACTATACTTCCAGGGATCATTTCTATAGTTCACTAAAGTACTTAGAGCAATGTCTGGCAGCTAGCAAGCTCTCAGCAGGCCTACGTGTCACTACCCTTCAGTTTCCCTGCCATTTCCAAACCCACTACAGCTACTGTGGGCCTATGACCAGCTAAGACCCAAAAGAGGCCTTGGATGCCTTGAACACACTGGGGCCTCTCTTAACCCTGTCAGCTGCCAAAATTATATTTGGCCCTTCTACTGTTTGGCTTTTTTATTCATCCAAAACGAACAGAATTATCTTCCAAACAAAATTTGTCTGCTCAGATATCAGAGAGACTCTAAGAATTCTAGAGGGGAAGACAGAACCAGACTGGCCATTCATCTGTCTCTCATATTAAAAAAAGAAGAAGAAGAAGAAAAGAAAAGAAACAAAGAACTAGAATTCTCTTCAGTGCTTAGGACACAGTGTTTAGTAGGGAAAAAAAGTACAACACGTAATTGCACTGTCAAGATAATTCATCCAGGTAAAGGAAAAAATGCACAGGAAAAAGATTGAAAGGAAATATGGTAGATGTTAAATAAAAGTGTTTTTTTCCCTCTGCTTCTCCATCCTTTTATGCACTTTATAATTTTCTACAGTCAACATGTAATTAACAGAGAAAACAATTAAGTGAAAAAAATTAAAAAGGAAAGCCTTCTCATGACTTTTTCTCCTCTTAAAATAATCACCTTATTGCTTTGTCTTAGTTCCTCCTTACTGTCAAAAAATTTAAAGAACTGTCTCCATTTGCTGTCTCTACCACTTCCTTTCTCATTTACTATTTCATCCATCACAGTCTGGCTTCCTCCTCAACCTCAGAGGGGACCCCACCCTGGAAAGATCGGGAATGACCCTTGTTGCCAAATTTAGTAGCTTGTTTTTCCTTGCCAGATCTTTGCAATATCTGATATTGTTGGTACCATCCGCTTCTTCTGAAAGCTCCCTGACTGTTCTCTGGGTATTCTCTCTCTACTCTGTCCTTCTGAAAGCTCCCTGACTGTTCTCTGGGTATTCTCTCTCTACTCTGTCCAGGGACCTAACCTTTCTGACTTTTGTTTGGTCCCTGCAGTTTCCTCAAGTCTTAATGTTCCCCAAGTTTAGGCCTCTAGCTCCCTCCCTCTGTACACTTTTCTTAGATGGCCTCATCTACTCTTGACCTCTGTGGTTCCATCCCAAATTCCAGCGCTGGCTTCTTGCTGGATACAGGTCAATCCAACATCCTTCTGAACACCTTCATTTGGATGTCCCTCAAACACCTCAGACTTAACAAGTCCAAACAGACTCATCTTTCTACTTTCCCTCAATCCCAACCAACTCTTCCTGCCTTGTTCTTTCACTGCAGGGGTGGGGTGGGTGGAATCCTTGTCCCTTTCTTTCTCACCCCCCACATTTGATTGATCACTAACACTGGCTGCTTCAAATTTAGAACTGTGTCTAGAGTACACCAACACTGCTGATGTGTTCTGACTCCGTCCTACATGAGGCCCTTTCTCTCTTTTGCCTGGCTGATCATAGCAGTTTCCCTCACAGCTTTCTTTCACCAGTCTTTCTCCTCTCTAGTCCATATCTTGTAATTTTTCTGATCATTCATTCATTCGATCAACAAACATTAGCTGTGCACCAAACTCTGCTCCAAATACTATGTGGGGTAAATGATAAAAACACAAAATACATAAACAAATCATTCAGGGGATTTCAAATTGTGGCAGTGTCTATGAAGGAAAGCAGGGGGATTGAAAGAAAATAACTAGGGCATGGGAGGAAAGTTCTCTCAGATGCGGTCTTTGCCCTGAAGTAGTCTCCCAAATGAATATAACAGGTGCCCTGATGGAACCAGGGGCAGCAATAATAGAGAAGAATGTGGCTGGGGACCCTGCTTTCAGTTGGGAATCAGGGAAGGCACAGTGAGGGGTGGGGGGCAAAGGAGGACAGGAAGATCAAGTGTGGGGCCCTAGAGGGCAGTTTGGGTTTTATTCTAAGTGCAATGGGAGGTTTCTAAAGGGTTTCTAACAGGGAAGTCACATTTAACTTTATCTCTCTCTCTCTTTTTTTTTTTTAAGATTTTATTTATTTATTTTTAAAGAGGGAAGGGAGGGAGATAGAGAGAGAGAGAGAAACATCAATGTACGGTTGCTGGGGGTTATGGCCTACAACCCAGGCATGTGCCCTGACTGGGAATCGAACCTGTGACACTTTGGTTCGCAGCCTGCCCTCAATCCACTGAGCTACGCCAGCCAGAGCTAACTTTATCTCTTTAAGAGATTACTCTTAGTGCCTAAGGTGAATAGCATTTGGGAGTGGGGTGGATAGGGTTGCTCAGTACTGGGAAACTACTGCAGTGGTCCAGGCAAGTCCTGTTGGCTGGGGCTGGGTGTTGAAAGTGCAGTCAGAGAGGACTTAAACCTCCCTTTGCTTATAACTCTAGGATAACACCTTTCACACAGTGCTGTCCTATAGGTTTACAATTCTGTCTCTGCACAAGGTAGACTAAGAGCTTATGAAAGATAAGGTTGGGGTAAATGTTCAATGCATGATCAAAAGATACAAATGGCCCCTAGTTCGCATGGGTCAAGAGTCCAGTCATGACCAGCCCCCATTATATTCAGAATCATCTACTAATGTGTGAGTCCTTGATCATAAGGAACACTAGCATGGGTACTAAGCCTCCTCATTGGATCCTGGAAACAGCCCTGAGAGGTGGGCACAGTGGGAAAAATCATCTCAATTTGACAGGTGAAGAAATCAAGACTTAAGGGAGGTGTGGCTTGGCCAAGATATCCACAGCTGCCAAAGCTAAGTCTGGAGTCCAGCTTGTCTGACCGCTCCCCCTCCCCCCCATTCAGTTCTGTTGTTTACTCCTGGGCTGCCTCACTTGTCCTTGAATCAAGAACTTGTAAAACTCCCTGTCACCTCAAGACAGAAGGAATAGGAAGCAGGGATATGATTCACAGGAGGCAAAATGGGAAGCAATTCTCCTCCCCCCTCAAAAGTGTCTGCACACCACCACCTCATTTGTTCTTATAACCACTGTAACTATCTTAGTGGTTATAAACATGGATTCTGGAGAAACAAAGGGCCAAATTTAAATCCTCTTTGTGTCATTTACAGGTTATATGACCTTGAGGGATTAGTTAACTTCTTTCGGCTTCCTATTTATCTGTAAAACTGAATGAAAACTGGCTACTCAGTAGAGTTTCCATAAGGATTATGAGACAAAAGCATCTTCCCCAAGACCCGGCCATACAGAAAGATGTTAATACTTGCTAATTATTATTACTGGCCCCAGGAATTTTCTTGATCACTTTTCACGCATCATCTCTTTGAAAATTCACAACATCATTTATCCTTTACGTGAAATACAGGTTTAGAGCTGTTAAATAACTCCCGCAAAGAAGTTAACACTTGAACCTAGATCATCACAACCATTAAAGCTTAGCAACCATGCATGGGTCAGAGAATGTAAGCAGCTTGCTCCAAGGACTGGTGACCAGCTACTGTTCTATACTCAACCAGATTTGATTTCACACTGATAATTGGCTCATAACTTTTGGAGGTCTAGAAAGATGTAAGCTTTAGAAAACAGGATTTGGAATGTAAAGGGGGCAGAGTCCTCCAGAGGAGTCGAGAGACATGCCTATGCCCGCGCATGTGGATGGGTGATTCTTTAATTTAGGCTTAATTTCCTCATCCATGAAATATAGGGAGAAGAGTTATTACAGTCCCTAGCGTCGTTCCCAACACTGACATTCCAGAGCAGAAGAGCTGCTCAGGTAAATATTTACTCAAACCCCTCCGGCTGAGCTTCATCCTCCGCGGGGTCGACAATAAGGACGCGTCCCCTTTAAGGCACCAGCTCGCCAGCGGCGGCGGCCGGAAGTGTTGAAGTCCGGCCTGGCGGCGACGGTGGCGGTAGCAGCCGTGGCGGCCTCTGCGCATGCTCCGTAGCCCGCCCGCCCTGGCCGCTCGCCGCCCGCCCGACGGAGACGGTGAGGAGGGGGAGGGGTGGGCGCGCGAACGCGGGCGCGGGGTGGGGTGGGGGCGGGGGGGCGGACGCGGGGGCCGCGCGGCGGCCGGCGAGGGCGGGCGGGCGCACAGGGGGCGGGGGGCTGTTGCCTCCGCGGGCGCCTCCCCACGCCCTGTGCGTGCCGCCGCCGCCGCCGGGGAGCGAGCGGACGTCGCGGCGCCGCGGGGGGGTGGGGGGACGCTGCCGCTGGGTCCGCCCGAGCAGCCGGGCCGCCCCCAGCGCGGCCGGCTGCGCCGCCCGACCTCGGCCCCCGGCCGAGGGCGGCGGGGGCCGACGAGCCTGGCACTGGGGGGCCCCGGCGCCCCCGGACCGAGGGGCCCGGAAGTCCTCGGCTGAGGGGCCAGGAGGGGCCGGAGCGACTCCTGACTGACGAGGCCCTGACGCCCAGGACCCTGGCGAGGGGTCCGGGGATCCTGGGGTATCCCCAGAGGCGGGGTCTGGGGAGTGCCAGGCCCATCAATGAAGAGCCGGGGCGAGGCCTGGGTCGTGTTGGGTTGGGGGGCGGTGCGGGAGGGGGCGAGAGGTGAGGGGAGCCCTGATGCCGACCCGGGAGGAGACCCTGGGAGCCTTGGCGGGAGAGCAAGAGCAGAGAGGGAGTTCTGCTGAGGAAAGGGGGTTCTGCTGAGGAGAGGAGGGCCCAAGCTTCACCTGAGGAAAGGCCTCGGTCGTTCGGCCCAGGGGAAAGAGGCAGGGGCTTTTCCAAAGGCGTGGTGGGAGCCGGCAGGGGACAGGGGAGAGCTCCGGGGAACGTCTGCAGGCCCCTGCCCTCCCGTAGGTGAGGGGCTGCGGGGGCACACCGCAGAGCCGCCTGAGGTGGGAGTGAGAGAGGTCCGGACTGCGAGGAAACGCGAGGCTCCGAGTGCCTCCTGACAGAAAGGCAGAGGACGAGGGAATCGGGCGTGTCGGGGGTGGGGAGCCCCACGTTTCTGAGGGTCGGAGAGAAGCTGTTTGAGGGGAAGAAGCCCAGAACACTCTTCATCCTGAAATGTCGGGGCGTTCACCAGCTGTCTGCTGACCGAGGGGCCGGGTGGATGAGGGCGGAACCCGACCTGAGGCGGCCTGGAGAGGAGCCCACCAGATGAAGGCGTGTTGGAAATCTCAAAACCACTCTATATAGCGGATACTGGAGGGGCTGTGATTGGGGTCTGTTTGGGAGGACCCGGAAGTGGGGTGTTTCTCAACCTGGACGATCACAAAAAGGCACGAACAGATCATTCTAGTCTTACAGGGATTCCCCCTCCCCACTCCGTGGGTTTGCTGATGGTTACTGAGGTGCTTTTGGGGGGACTTTTTCACTAAATGTTTGGATAATCCCCTAATTTATTAGCCTTTTATGTGTATGTATTTAATGTCTACTGAGGAGATGACTATTTCACTAATCAACCTTATGTTCAACAAACATATCCAAAAGCAAACTTGTACACACCTCCCTTGCTTTAGTTTGGGCGCTATTTTGGTCTTGTCCTAAACAGAAGTCCCCTACACTGTAATAGGACGACTCTTCAAAGCATGCTTTTATTCTGTTGCTTCCCCAAACTTCTGCCTAGCGATCTCCAGTAGTGACTTCTAAACTTTTGCTCTGGCTCTTTCCCTCGCAGTGGTGCTGTGTAGCCTTCTGTTGGCTTCAGTTACATTCGGTAGCACTCTGGGTCACCTACTAAATACGTGAGAAGGAATAAGGAAGGAAAAAAATCAAGGAGTTTTGGCCTCAAGTTTTAATTTAGAAATGTCTTAAGAATAGACTACACAGTCAACAAAAATTACACTACAGTGTGCAATACACAAATACATTTTAGGGTTAGAAAAGTTCAGGGTATCTGCTATTTTTAAAAAAATAGTTTTAAGAGAAAGAGGAAGCAGGGGCAGAGAAACACTGATTTTTTTTCCTTTCACTTACTCATGCGTTCATTGGTTGACTCTTGCATGTGTCCTGACTCAGGATAGAACCCCTCAACCTTAGTGTATCAGGATGATGCTCCCACCAACTGAGCCTCTGGGCCAGGGCAGGATATCTGGTATTTTTTGTCATTCCTCATTAACTTCCAACTGTCATGTCCCTGTGATCTTGTGCACTCACACTTATACTTTGCCTTGTTTTAAACATTGGTTTTCAGGACAAAAAAATGAATTTAATCCAGAGTAGGTCAGATATCATATCTTTAGTATTTCAATAGCATTTGTAAGCAGTCATGAATTGGCTTTCAAGGTGTCTCTTTTACCTTCGAAAATAACTACAAAATTATTTTAACTTTTCATATAAATTTGGCATCTTTTTTTAATGTATTCTTTTAGAATTACAGGGAGTGTTGTGTAATTCCACAATCAATACTCTGAGACCCTTTTTATAAAAATACCCAAAGGATCAACTAACTCTTGCCTCAGGAGTTTTTGTTGATATAAACAAGAGCCACTTTTCGGTTTGCACTCAGCTCAAAGAGATGACCTTGCAGTTAGCCAGTGTAGTCTGAAGAGATGGTTTCGGGTTACTTGCTAGGAATATGGTATTTAGGGTAATAAGAGATTCAATCCAAACTGGCTTCTCTAAAGAATGTCAACATGGCATTCTTTTCCAAGTTGACTGAATCAGACCTGTGTCTCTGACACTGAGAGACATATTGTGGATAATTATAATTATCCTCTTTGATAAACTCTCAGAAAGTTAGAGAAACAGCCAGAACATTCCTCTTGGGTGCCAAGATGTGGGAGGGGTAAGGAATAAAATATGAGTTTCTATTGAGGAAAGTGTTAATCAAGTTGTTAGTCAGCCACTTATTCAGAGTGTTCTAGAGAGGACTCAACCACAGAGTAGAAGATTGAAACTAGAAGCATCCTTCTAATTCTGCTTCTCTAACCCATTAATTCACTTAAACTATTAATTTTTAAACATTTAAACGCCCTTTTTGGGATAATAAATTCTGTAAGCTTGATACGTGCTAAGGTATTTCATCTTTTTAAAAAGATTTTATTTACTTTTAGAGAGAGGGGAAGGAAGGGAGAAAGGGAGAGAAACATCCATGTGTGAGAGAAACATGGATAGGTTGCCTCTCAAAAGCCCCCAAACTCCCAACCGGGGGCCTGGCCTGTAACCCAGGCATGTGCTCTGACCAGAAATCGAACCGTTGACCTTTCCGTTTGCAGGCAATGCCCACCCCACTGAGCCACACCAGTCAAGGCAGGTATTACATCTTTTAGATTTATTAAATATGTAATAGTAACAGAATAGTGCTTGAAAAAAAGTGTCCAACAAATGCTAGTTGTTATTATTTTAATTTACCCTACATTTTTATAGTTTAAACTTTGACGATATCTATTGGTTCAGTTATTCAAGGACTTGATGGTATATGTATGCTTCATCATATCCCTTTTTGGCTTTTTCTGGACTCACAGGACCTAATTTTTTTTGGTCTACTGCCAAAAGCCAGCCAAACCAGGCCATTGATTCTCTCGTTTTAAAAAAATTGTTCATTTACAGTTGTCCCAATTCCACCCCCCACCCCATTACTCTCCCGTGCCCTGCCCACCCCACCCCACCACTTCCACAGTCAATCCCCACCCTGTTGTCCTTGGGTCCTTTGTACAGGTGATTCTCTTATTTTTATCTTTCTAGTTTTAAACCTTTAATTTACTCGGGGGTAGGATTGGGGGTGGGAGATGAGGGTGGGTGGGGCAGGGGAAAGTGGTGGTGGGAAAATGGAGACAACTGTATTTGAACATAAATAAAAATATTTAAAAAGTAAACCCTTAATTTTCAGAAGTTTGAATTGTATACTGCTTTATCTTGCAGTTACTTTTCCCCTCTAGTATGTGACAGTGCCATGCATCTCTTTCCTTTCTGTAGTTCCTTAAGAGCAGATACTGTCCTTTTTTATATCCAAGGAGCCTAACTCTCCCTGATATGGAGTAGAAACTCAGTAAATATTTGTTGAACTAGCCATACTGATGGACAATAAGCCAGGCAGCTTAGCCCAGCTACCTAAGCAAATGCATCCCCTAAGTTGGAAATGTAGAAAATTCTAGCAGCCTTTTAGGGTAAGCTAAATCATTAATTGCACAAGAATTTATTACCTTTCTTCTATTTGCCAGATTGCCTTAGAAAGTCTAGATAGATGGAAGTCTGATATTTGAAAGCTATTATACTCCTGTGTCCTGGGCAGTAACCTAGGCACAGGGAAGTTGTTGAAAAAGAAAAGCAATCCTTGCTTTCCCGTGATGTTGTCTGGTGGGGAGAGGCTGACAAAATGAGATGATCATTGTGACAAGGGTGCTGCAGGCACTGAAGGAGCAAGGACATAAACTCAAATCTAGTCAAGGAAGTCACCAAAGGCCTCCCCAAGGAAGTGATGTTTTAAATAAGTTACAAAAATTTAGCAGTAACTAGCCAGAGAAAGAAAAAGAGAATTTCAGGTAGAGGAAATAAGTGTGAAGGCTCAGGTGAGAAAATGGTGGTATGTTTGAGAAATTGGGAGAAATTCAATGATAGCAGCCCACATTGTGAGAAGAAGAACTATGAGAAATGAGGCTAGCAGGATGGGCAGGGGACAGATTTGGAGGATTTTGTAAGCCATGTTAAGGTATTTGTATGTCATTCTAACAGCAAAGGTAATCCACTGAAGGATATTTAAATGGAAATGGCTTGTGACCTTTAGTAAGATCACTTTGTAGATAATTTGGAGAGCAAGACCAGAGTTTAGGATACTAATGTGATGCACCTGGAAAAATACAGGTAACTGGTGGCTCAGAATATGGTGTGGCAGCACAAATGGAGAAAGGAGATGGTTAAGAGATATATAGGTAATAGAATGGATAGGATTTGGTAGTTGATTGGCTTTAGAAAGAGAAAAAAGAGTCAAAAATAACTTCTGCTCTGACTAGTGAGGTTCAGTTGGTTGAGCATTGTCCCAAAGCAAAAGGTCACCCATTGGATTCCTGGTGAGGGCACATACTTGGGTTGCAGGTTTGGCCCCTGGTAGGTGCATGTATGAGAGGCAACCGATCAATGTTTCTAACTTTGATGTTTCTGTCCTTTTCTCCCTTCCTTACGTTCTCAATACAAATAAATAAATAAAAATCTTTAAGCCCTGGCTGGCGTGGCTCAGTGGATTGAGCGTGGGCTGCGAACCAAAGTGTCGCAGGTTCAATTCCCAGTTAGGGTACATGCCTGGGTTGCAGGCCATGACCCCCAGCAACCGTACATTGATGTTTCTCTCTCTTTCTCCCTCCCTTCCCTCTCTGAAAATAAATAAAAATATTTTTAAAAATCTTTTAAAAAATAATAACTCCAGCCCTGGCTGGTGTAGCTCAGTGGATTGAACGTAGGCCCAGGAACCAAAGGGTCGCTGGTTCAATTCCCAGTCAGGGTACATTCCTGGGTTGTGGGCCAGGTCTCTAGTAGGGGATGTGTAAGAGGCAACCACACATTGATGTTTCTCTCCCTCTCTTTCTCTTTCTCCTTCCCTTCCCCTCTCTCTAAAAATAAATAAATAGTCTTTAAACATAAACAAACAAACAAACAATAACTCCATTTCTGGCTTGAGAAAATGGGTGGAGGCTAGTGCCATTTGCTGAGGCAGGAAATAGGAACAGGCTGAGAGGGAACATGAGTTCCTTTTAAGATGCCTACAAGATATTTTAAGAGACTCTTGGATATAGAAAGTGTAAATTCAGGTATAAAGCTTGTGAGAATCATAAAGGGCAGAGTATAAGTCAGACATAAGGAATTTTAAGTAGGTCAAATACAAAAATTGATTGAACTGAGCTATGTCACTGCCTGTGATGAGCAGGTCTGTGACAGATAAAACGATTTTTGGATAAGCACCACTTGTCCTGACCGAGAGTACAGTGTAGTAATGAGGATAGATATCTGTTCAGTTAATTGCAGTGCAGAGCTCAGTGTGATAAACACTGGAGGACAGCTACAAACCAAGTATTGGGGTAATGCAGAAAAGAAAATGATAAATGCTTCGGCAATGGCTATGTGGAGGAGTGGGCTTTGAACTGTGCCTGAAGGGAGGAGATGAGGGAGAAAGGAGTTTTAGGCTTAAGGAATAACAACATACAGAAACCTGAAAGTACATATTGTATGTTCAGAATACAATGGGTGAGTAAAAGATAGAAAATTGTACTGCAACAATAATTAAAATAAAATTTAAAAAAAGAATACAGTGGTTGGTTGGTGTGGCTGCAGTTTAAGATTCTTGGGTTATTATAGTTACAGATAAGACTGGAAAAGTATTTTGGGGCCAAACAGGGTTATGGCTTAACCCTGGAATGTTATGCTTAAGTATGTGTATTAAAGGCAAATGAGTGCTGTGGCAGAGCTGAGATACAGTTTCAGTCATCTGACTGCCAGTTACATGTTCATATTTGCATCCGTTGAATACTTATTCCATTCAGCATAGGCCTAGTCATTTTCACATTCTTATCTAAGTAAATACAGTGCTCTTATTTCTAGTCCCTCTAGTGACTCCCTCCTTCCTTTTCAATTGTGAAGAGTAACACTGCAGAATATCCTGTGACCTTCTGAGTTTTCATTGAGATTGGAACAATGCTTTGAATTACTTTAATTTTTTTAGAGATTATATTTATTTATTTTTAGAGAAAGGAGAAGTCAGGGAGAAAGAGAGGGTAAGAAACATCAGTGTGCGATTGCTTCTGGTGCACCCCCAACTGGGAACCTGACCTGCAACCCAGGCACGTACCCCTGTCTGGGAACCGAACTAGCAACCTTTTGGTTTGCAAGCTGGTGCACAATCCACTGAGCCACCAGCCAGGGCACTTTGAGTTACTTTAGAGTTGAAGAGCATGTAGTGCTGGACACTGGTTTCCTCACCAGCTCTGCAAGGGAGATGTCAGGTGAAGTCATTTCTCCATTCAGTCAGAAGCAGAAAGGTATTTAGTCTAGAGGTCATACAATTGGATTCAGCATTTGTTAAATAACTATGCAGTGCAAGTCATCTTTTTCTTCCCAATCAGCTAAGTTCAGTTAGTCAGCAGATATTTATTAAGTACTCACAAAGGACAGAGCAGTTAATGAGATGTAATAGCTGGTTGCAAGGAAAATGGATTCCTACTCTCTAGGAGCTTACTCTTTGGGATGGAACTAGTGGTGTGCTATAAACCAGCTCTCTAGGGAAGAAATACCCTGATTTGTAGTGCTTGCCAATTTCCGTGGTGTATATACTCCCAGCATCAATGATTTTAAGCTAGTAACTTGATGTCACTAAACTTGGAGTTGGGAAGTGACGTACACAATTGGTTCTTAGGAGCTGGTAGAGCTGGTAAAGCACACCATTGGATGAATCACTCATACTAAGAAAACCTACAATAGCAAGTGAATACTGAGGCATTTCTGGAAAGATCTAGAGCCTGTGTTAGCACCATTTCACATTCCCATCCTTTTCAGAGGACCATGATCTTCAGGGTGCCCTTGGATTTGGGTAGTTATTATCCTGGAGTTCCTCTCCTGTGGTTGCTATCTTTTCAAACCAGATGAAGTTACTGGTGCTTCTTGTTTCTGACAGCAGTTTCAGCTATCTGACTTCATGTGAAAGATGGCTAATGCGGAAGTGAGTGTCCCAGTGGGGGATGTGGTTGTGGTACCCACTGAAGGAAATGAAGGAGAGAACCCTGAAGACACTAAAACCCAAGTGATCTTGCAGTTACAGCCTGTGCCACAAGGGTAAGTGACTAAAGATATGGATATTCTAAAAAGCTTGGGAGGTTTAAAGAGTGGGGAAATTATAACTTGATGGCTGTTTATCACAATGGAACATGCAACATTCATCTCAGAGCCGGCCAAGTTTTCATCTCTATAACAAGGTGTTTAGTGCTATATTTGTCATTTCAATACTTATTACAACAATTAGCTGTTTTCTTATATCTTCTCCTCTTCTTCACTGTGAGCTCCTTGAGGGTAAGTTACATGGCTCCCTGATTTTATTTATACACACTATTTAGCATGGAGTCTTCGTAAGTGTTTGCCAAAAGACAGTGTAGTTAGAGTCAGAGGAGATTAGGCAAGGCAACTATAAATGTATTCCTACAAGAAGCTCTCTGGACTGTCATGGGTGCACAAATTATCAACCTTGGTCGATCAAAAATAAACATAAACTACCTACTATTATACAATGTATTATAAAGATGTTGGAAGAAATATAGCACATGGTTCCCACTGTCATGGAACTTGCAGTCTAGCTGTGCAAACCGAGAAAAAATTATATATATATATATATATACAGAGAGAGAGAGATCACTTACATGGCAAAATCTAACAAGTGTTGAATGACATGATTAGGAAGTGCTTTCAATTCAGGGGACCACTATGAATTTGAAAAAAGAGATAAGTTTTAAAAAATGGTCTGTGGTCTTAAAGGTTAAGTAAGAATTGCATCTACAAAGAGAACAGAGGGATAGTTATTTTACCTTGGGGAATGTTTGAGTCTTCATAGGATTAGAAATGTTCTTGGGCAAACATATAATCCAATCCCAATCTACTAAGTAATGTACCTTGTCTAAACACTTCTGGAAAAACACAATCAACTTTTCTTGGTAATTTTAAAAACATTTTAGTATAGAAAATTTCAAATTTACACATAAATACAGAAAATTATGTAAGCACGCATCACCCAGCTTCAACAATTATCAATACATGGCCAGTCTTATTCATCTCACATCTACCTACTCCTGAATTTTTTTGAGGCAAATCTCAGACATTAGTATGTATCTGTAAGATAAGGACTTTTTAGCTTTAAAAATATAACCACAGTTTGCTGATATTTCTGAGTATTGTAAAGCATAAGAAAATTTTAAGATTTATAAGGGAAAGGTAATATATGATAAATCCTGCATAGAGTTAATAGAGTGATTTAAATTTTTATTGACACCAAAAGATTATGCATGCTTATTCAAATTCACTTGTGTGGGAGGTTCATTTGTTACACACACACACATACTTGTAGTTGTTATCCTTTGGTACATGAAGAAGAATTAAAGAATAGGTCTTTCAGTTGTTGCCAGCTTTATTTTTCTCATGGGGTCATTATTTCTTCTACCTTTCCAAAGTGCTCCAAGGAGCTTTTGAGATCTTGTTCCCTAGCATGCTGTCAATTTGGCTCAAATAAATTATTTTTATTTTATTTTATTTTATTTTATTTTATTTTTCCTTCTTTTTATTATTTATTTATTTATTTATAGAATATTTTTTCTTTATTTTTCTCAAACCCTTGTCTTGAGAACTGACTTTCAGTAGATTGCAGTGAGGGAACTGCTCTGCTACGTATGAAATCCCAGCCCAGAAGCAGGTTGTGTACCAATGGTTTAGTGCCAGGTTCCGCAAGGGGGCAGCCTCCTTTCTAGCCATGCTAAATTCTTATAAAATTTTTTTAAAAAGTGCTCCAGTTGTCATTTGCCTTGTCCCTAGCAAAGACAGAAAAAGCTTCTCTGTTGCTTAAAGAGTTAATTTTTTGAAGATTTTGTTCCACTTGTTTTTCTTTTGCCTGTCTCTTATTTTCCAAATGATAGTGCCTTTTCTGGAAACTTCTCATTACTTGATCAGAGATAGGCATCTTTGTACAACATATATTGACTCTCTAATCCACTATTTACACTGAATTTAATATATGAACTTGTGAATGAACATTTTGAGGTACTGCCTTTTGAGATACCTGTCTATTGGTGCTGAGTTGATTTCTGTAATTGTTTTTTAATTATTTGAATATTTTACTGTGCTTTAGCCTCATTTTATAAAACTGAGTAGGGAGGAAAAAATCTGATACTAGTGAAGTACAGGTCTCATAAGTTTATTTTATTTATTCAGGGAAGGGGAGTGAGAGATAGGCAGAGACAGAGAGAGACACCAATTTGTTGTCCTCCTTTTTATGCATTCTTTGGTTGATTCTTGTATGTCCTATGATCAGGGATCGAACCTGCAACCTTGGTGTGTCCTAATGACACCCTAACCAACTGAGTTACCCAGCCAGGGCTAGGTCTCCTAAGTTTCATACACTTGAGACAAAGATGGAAATTATCAGGTGTCAGTCTTGAGCCTCAGTCACACTTAACCTAATTGGCTTCAGGTTCAAATATGAAGGAAAGAAACAATCAAAGAACTTGTATGAATTGTTGGGACTATATTGGTCAAGATTATATGCAAAAGGCAAGAAATAGGCCCTGGCCATGTTGGTAAGTTGGTTTGAGCCTCAAACATCATCCCAATATACCAAAGTTGGGGGTCTAATGTAATTCCCAGGTTTCTGTCTTATGCTTCAATGTCCTGGGTGGTGCCATCAACAAGGATGTGGAGTAAAGGAAAAAGCATAGTTTGGGAGGTAAGAAAGGAAAGACAACTTGCTTAACTTAGACATAATGAATTGAACAATGTCCTATGGGGCATCCAAATATCTTTATTTATTTAGCAGTTAACTGTCCTGGTGTGAAATTCGGAAAGGAGGTTAGTGCTAGAGGTGTCACTATAGGGGTGAATAACCACCGATGCAAAGGAGATTGTTTAAGCAGTGCTTTCAAATAACAAGATGCAATAATGAACACATTAGATTTATTATAGGGATTAAAGGACATCACTGTATCATGTTAGGTTACCTGAGCCCATTTTTTAGAAGGTAGAAATATTTTAGAAAGGCACCTTCATGAAATGGTACCTCTAGTTACTGCTAGTTACTTTGGGCATAGTCTGTCTCTTAATTTTTTAGTAGGCTCTGCTTATGTCAACATTTTGGTTATGGTGCCTTCAAAAATGCTATATCATAATGTGTGTCAACTGTAATTGAAAAATGTTTAAAAAGTATTAAAAACAACTAAAGCACTGGCTGGTGTGGCTCATTTGGTTGGAGCATCATCCCATAAACCAAAGATTGCAGGTTCAATTCCTGGTAAGGGCACACGCCAAGGTTACAGGTTCAATCCCTGATTGGTGTGCTTCCAGGAGGCAGCTGATTGATGTTTCTCTCACATACATGTTTCTCTCTTTCTCCCTTCCTCTCTCTCTATAGAATCAACAAATTTAAAAATATTGTTTTTACAACTGTAAACCTACTTTTTAAAAAGATTTTTTTAATTTAGTTTTAGACAGAGGGGAAGGAAGGGAGAAAGAGAGAGAAACATCAATGTGTGGTCGCCTCTTGGACACCCCCTACTGGGGACCTGGCCTGCAACCCAGGCATATGCTCTGGTGGGAACTGAACCAATTACCCTTTGGTTCACAGGCCAGCACTTAGTCCACTGAGCCATACCAGTCAGGGTTAAATTTTTTTTTTTTTTTAATACTAAAGTGCTTGCCCTGGCCAGCTTGTTGGGGTGTTATCCCGTACATCAAAAGGGTTGCAGGTTTGATTTCTAGTCAGGGCACATACCTGGGTTGTGGGTTCAATATCGGTGGTCAAGGTATATGTGGGAGGTGGCTGATCGATGTTTCTCTCTCACATCGATGTCTTTTCTCTCTCTCTAAAATGAGCATATCCTTGGGGTGAGGATTAAAAAATAAAAAATGCTAAAGTGCTTAAAAATGCTTCAGTGTCTAGATTCCAACAAGGGTCATAAACTTCTCTGGTCAGCATTGCTTCTTGTCTTGAACTGTCCAACAGTATTACTTTGTAGTCTTGATAAGGTAATTCTATAACATGACTTAATCTTATGCTTGAAGCAATACTTTATGTCATGAGCTTTTAAAGATATGAAGGGGAAATGTCTAGTGTAAAATACAGTAGCAAGAGGAACTTTCCGTTGAGGTGAGGAAAGTTGTTAATTCATTTCCATGGTAATAGCTGCTAAGCAGTTATGGGCAACTTAGAGTTTAAAAATAATGGGGAACTGCTCAAAGCACTAACATAGAGTTGTGAAGTATATTTGTTTTATTCCTTTGAGATAGATTAAAAAAATTCTTAACCGCCCTGCTGTGAATATTAATTTTTTCATGATTTATGTAGTTTGTTTATCGATGGACACTTTTACAACAGGATTTATGAAGCTGGGTCTGAGAACAACACAGCAGTTGTGGCAGTAGAAACTCACACGATACACAAAATTGAAGAAGGGATTGGTAAGTCTTTTTGATATTCTAGTACATTTGACCTTAACTTCCTTAGTTGGGATTTCTTGCCTTTGTGCCTTTTTTATACTATTTAGTATGACCTGTCAGTACTGCAGCCATCTATTTGATGGTAGCACATCTAGAGACACCACTTATTAAGGTGCTAGGGCTGTCAGTTGGTTGTTGAACATCAGTTTGCTAGGGTTGTTGAAAAGATTTTTCATCTGTAAAAGTCCTACAAAGAAATTAGATCCTCAAGGTTGATTCTTGTCATTAGGAAAGTTGTTGATGAAGACTGATAAGGTGTTCATTGATAGATAGTCAGTGGAAACTTTGAAATTAGACAAACTTGAGTTTAAAGCCTACTTTCCCACTTAGCTGTGTGTCCTTGGGGGTGTTACTTTACCTTTTGGAGTCCCACATACAACATGTAAAACATAGAAAACAATTGCTGCCTCCCAGGATTATTGCAAGAACAAAATAAGATTAAATGCATCAAAGCTTATAACACAGTGTCTGATGCACAGTGGGAGCTCAGTAAGAGCTGTCATGCTTAACTTCTTCCAGAGGATTTCTAAACAACACCAGCCAGTGTAAACTGTTAGCTCTTGAGAGGAACCAGGAGACTAAAGATTTTGAATTAAGCTTTGGGGAAGAGTGTTCGATAAATAACTGGTATTTGTTTTTTCATTTTCAGATGCAAGTACTATAGAAGCAAATGAGGATATGGAAATTGCTTACCCCATAACTTGTGGGGAAAGCAAAGCCATTCTTCTTTGGAAGAAATTTGTATGTCCAGGAATAAATGTAAAGTGTGTCAAGGTAATTGTCTTTTCTGCTTGCTGGAACCTACTTTGGGGCTCCTTGATTTTGAAGGGCATGGTTCCAGCACCTCTCTCTTCCACTGTATCAGTATTTTTAATTTTGTGGTTATAGTCCTATTGTGTCATAGTAGACAAAGACAACTTTGGAGTGAAACTGACCTGGATTCAAGTCCCACCAGAATAGAAGTTTCATGAGAGCTGAGAACCTGTCAATCTTGTTCCCCAGTGTATCTCCAGCACTTAGATTGGTACTTGGTGTATTTATCAAAAAATATTTGTTGAATGAATGAATGGAGTCCCATCTTTATTACTGATTAGGTGGGTGACCTTGAACAAGTTATTCAATATTTCAGAACCTCATATATTAAAATAGTGAATAATCATAAATGTCCCCATTGTTAGCCACAACTATACCCATAGATAATAGTCACTATCAGTGGCATCATCCTAGAATCATTTAAGATTATGCAGTTTTGACGCTCTGCAGTGCTATTGGTTCTTACTGTAGTTAATCCTTCTACCATATCCTGAATCTTCTTATTAAGGCTGGACAGATTGTTTCAGTTTATTTAAACAGCCTTTGAAACATTGAATCCAACCACCTGATTCAGAGCATAAATGGATTTTAAATGCTAATTAGTATATTAATCTCTGATCTTCCCCATGTCATCTGTAGCTTTCTCCCAGGATAGGGCACTGCTCAGAGAAGGATCATCTTCCCTGGCACAATAGGGCAAAAGGCTGGGTAATAAAAGACTATGACTTAAGATGCCATCTGGGTATTTTTTGTGTATAGCAAGTAGAGTTATCTCTTTGTTTCCCTCTGCTTGCTTAAGTTGACATTGTATTATTTTGGACTTTTCTTTTTACTTTAGTTCAATGATCAGTTGATCAGCCCCAAGCATTTTGTTCATCTGGCTGGCAAGTCCACCCTAAAGGACTGGAAGAGAGCCATTCGTTTGGGTGGAATTATGCTCAGGTGAGCTCTAATACTAAGAACATACCTTTCAACTGACTTTGGGGCACTTAATCATGGTAGAATTCAGAGAATTCAGTCTTTGCTCTTTAATTTGAAATTTTTATTCTGTCTGAAGGATTAGCTTAAGAAATCCATGTATTATTTGACCTTCATTAACTTGTTCTTTAAAAAACTCTTAGAGAAAGAAGAGTGAATCAAATTCACTCTTCCCAGCATCTAGGGCAAATGTTAGAATGTTGGATAGGATCTTCTCTGGGCAGAGAAACTCAAGAGCAGATGATAGTCCTGGTTGAGATCATCAACCATAGGCAGAGCTAAGCCTGATGCTGAGGAAGCATGACGGCCACAGAGAAGTGTAGGCTGACTGACAAATCCTGGGATAATCTGGTAAAAGTAGAGGGTGCTGTTAATAAGTATCAATATTGCACAGTAAATGCAGTCTTTGCCATCACTGTACTACAGAAATAAAATCCAAAATGTATAATACCCCCAATTCCCTCTCTTTATGCAACAAGTTTACTATTGTAATTTTTCCCCTCTGAAAAGTAACATTAGTTGATTAAATTCATATTCATTCTTTGAGCTCTCACCTAATGATAGAAAATTTTTTACTTTTTTTTTAAGAGAGGGGAAGGGAAGGAGACAGGGACAGAAGCATAAATGTGAGAGAGAAACATCAGTGGGTTGTGTCTTATACACATACTAACTGGGGGCTGAACCCACAAGTGAGGCATGTATTATCACCGGGAATCGAACCAGTGACCTTTTGCTTTACAGGATGGTTCCTAACCAACTGAGCCACACCAGTCAGGGCTTGATATAAAATTTTTAAATGTGGTCAGGAATTAAAAGTTCCATACAGAACATGTTCTGAGAGTCTTAAAAACATCTCATCCTTTGTCTTCAATTCTTTTTTTTAAGATTTTATTTAATTTTTTTTTAGAGAGAGGGGTAGAGAGAGAGAGAGAAGGAAAGAAACATTAATGTGTGGTTGCCTCTTAAGTTTTCCCTACTGGGGACCTGACCTGGAACCCAAGCATGCACCCTGACCAGGAATTGAACCAGTGACCCTTTGGTTTGCAGTCCAGCACTCAATCCACTGGGCTACACCAGCCAGGGCTAAAAATTAGTCTACTTTAATATACAGTCAAGGTATATCTAAAGTAAATTATGGCTCACCTAAATATATATAAGTATATACTATGGGATATAATGCGGTAATTAAAATATTTCTAAAAAGCTTTTATATGAAAAAATAATTATAATATAATGCAAGAAAGAAAGTAAAATATAAATCAATTGAACAGTGTGATTTTACTTGTGCTAAATTCACAAGCAACGCTGGCTGGTGTGGCTCAGTGAATTGAGTGCTGGTCTACAGACTGAAGGGCTGCAGTTCAGTTTCCAGCTAGCGAACATACTTGGGTTGTGGGCTAGGTCCCCAGTTGGGGGTGTGCAAGATGCGTCCAATCTATGTTTTTCTCACACATTGATGTTTCTGTCCTTCTCTTTCTCCCTTCTTTTTCTTCTCTCTAAAAATAAATAATTAAAATCTTTAAAAAGAATAGGCAAAAAATATGCCAAAATGTTGATGTTATCTCTGTGTTGTAGGAGTTTTTTTAAGGGCAGTTGTTTTCTTTATAGTTTTCTGTATTTTTCATAAAAATATTATTTTTTTTTCTTCACATACTATTTTTATAGTCAGAGACACATAATTAAAAAATATTCATTCCAGCCCTGGCTGGTGTAGCTCAGTGGATTGAGCATGGGCTGTGAACCAAAGGGTCACCGTTTTGATTCCAAGTCACGGCACATGCCTGGGTTGCAGGCCAGATCCCCAGTGGGGGCCATCTGAGAGGCAACCACACATTGATGTTTCTCCCCCACTCTTTATCTCTCCTTTCCCCCCTCTCTAAAAATAAATAAATAAATAAATAAATAAATAAATAAATAAATCCCTTAAAAAAAAGAAAAACTTAAAAAAATATATTCATTCCAGATGGTTTGTAGGAAGAAATTAGTAGTTGATCGAAATGGGAACAATTCTAACTTTTATTTTCGTTGTTCTTGGCCTATTTTATTTGCCAGAAAAACAAGCATATGCAGACTTTCCTCAAATGTAAAATGGAACAAGAATACCTAAAAACATCTTTAGAAAAAGACAAGTAATATAACACAGCTTACTATAATTAAAATACTGCATGGTTTTGCTCATGGCCTATCATAACAATGTCTTGTGAATCCTCTTCTAAGGACATCTTATAGTGGGGGTTTAGTTTAATCAGCCTTGCTCTGTATTTATTCGAGGGCTGTTATCAATTTTTCTTTTAAGGAAAGAAACATGTTGAAGTTTTATGTCTCCAAAAGTGACAACAGATCTTGATGGTCTAGCGATACTAACACATCAGAATGCCATCACAAAATTCTAATTCCTTTGTGGCATTTCTCAGTTGTGCTGGGATTTGAGGTAGTCTTTTTTTCCCTTTTTGGATTTGGTTTCAATGAGATTCTATGGGGAAACTTAGCTATTGTCAAGAGTATATAACTAAAGCTTAGTGATAACGGGATGTAAAAGAGAGTATTCTTGAGTAGTCTAGGGAGGGAAGAGGAGTCCTTGTAAATGTGGGCAGGACCAATGAAAATTTTATAGTCCCAATTAGAATTTTTGCAACCTAATGACTCCTAAAACTATTAGGTTTCACTAATCTACAAAGTAGACTCAGCAACTTGTCTCTATTTGTCCCTGAGGCCTAGTTCCCTCTAGATGAAGTACAGGCTAAACTGGAACTTCTTGTCTCCCTTTGTGCAGGAAAATGATGGATTCTGGACAAATTGATTTTTACCAACATGATAAGGTTTGCTCCAATACCTGCAGAAGCACCAAATTTGATCTTCTTATCAGCAGTGCAAGAGCTCCAGTGCCAGGACAGCAGACAAGTGTGGTGCAGACACCCACTTCGGCCGATGGTAGGGGGTAGGAAACCACCTGAAAACCCATTGTATTTTTCAGTAGCACTTTCCCCTCATTTCTCCTTTGTGTTTCTTAATTTCAATTCTCATGAGTGGTGATGTCTCTGAAAGATATAGTAATCATGGGTGGGGTTCCATGCTTTACAAACAGATCTTTGTTTTCTCCCAAATGATTACTATTGACTACCTCCCTTATTTCTTTCTTGCAATGCACGGTAAACATTAGAAAGGTGGTTCAGTAGTCATAGTGCTTATTCAGTGATCTTGCTTGGGTGCCACTTGGCATTCTTTTGAAATTAGATTGTTTTGAAAATCCTTTGCTTTACTAGTGGTCAAAGCAGGAAGTTACATTGGAATGGTGAATGGTTTTTAATTGATAAACTGAGATGTATCAAAGACAATTTATCTTTGGCTGGGATGGACTCTGGATGACTCTGCTATAAGGAACAAAGAGCTCTGCCTGGAAGGGATCCAGAAAACCAAGCTGAGGCTTCCTCACAAATGAGACAGGATGGGCAGACACTTAACTTCAGTATTGTTGAGTTTGGGACTAGGGCTCCCTGTCCATCTCCAGGACAGATACAGCCATGTGAGATTATTAAGGATTGAGTTAGTCCAGCTGGAGACTTAGTACAGCTAATATTCTTAGAATATGTATCAGCTATTTCCAGAAAACTTACAAATATGCCTGACAGAGTAGCAAGAATGATAAAGGATGTAAAGGAAGTAATGTGCTTTAAAAATGCATCTTAAAGTTTCTTTTGGTCAGACCTAATATTCTGTAAGTAACAACTGGATGAGTAGAAGCCAAATCATTTTCAGGAAAGTATAAAATATTTAGCAGTTTGAATTTTTGTTGGTGTGATTCTTTCACTTGAAAAGTGAAAAAATGCTGTGAAATTACATAATCCTTTTTATTTGGCCAAAACTTCTTTATTTAATTGATTACCAATATTGATAACTACTTCTTTGGTTGATTATTGATATCCTCCAGCTTGTAGAGTTCACATTTGTCTTTACTTCTATCTCAGTCAGTTTGATTTTTTTCAGGTCTCTTTGTTTACAACTGACAGCAAAAGTTTTTTCTTCTGTGCATCTACTATTTGTGGTCTCATCTGATTTTTTGAGGTGTTATTTCTCTTGCTTTCTCTTACATAAACTGATAAATAAGTTATAGCAACTTCACATAGTATAGATGGTTAGTATCAAACAGACCTGTATTTAGTAGGGCTGTTGGCCAAACACCATACTTTCCTCTTAAATTATTTCTGGTCCTTCTCATCCTAAGTCTGGGGCAGGCAGCCTGGCAGTTATGCCCACTTTAAGTCTCTTTCAAAAATATACCTGCTCAGGAAGCAGATTGCTCTTTTTTAAAAAATTGTATTTTTTTTTATTTTTTTAAGATTTTATTTATTTATTTTTAGAGACAGGGGAAGGGAAGGAGAGAGGGAGAGAAATATCAGTGTATGGTTGCCTTTCACATACCCCCTACTGAGGACCTGGCCAGCAACCCAGGCATGTGCTCTGACTGGGAATCAAACCAGCAACCCTTTGGTTCGCAGGCCTGTGCTCAATCCACTGAGCTACACCAGATAGGTATTTATTTATTTTTAGAGAGAGGGGAAGGGAGGGAGAAAGAGAGAAACATTGATGTGTGAGAGATACATCAATTAGTTGCCTCTCACACTCCCCCAACTGGGGACCCACCCTGCAACCCAGGCATATGCCCTGACAGGGAATCGAACAAGTGACCTTTTAGTTTTCAGGCTGGCCCTCAATCCACTGACCCACACCAGCCAGGGCCAGATCGCTCTTTTGTGATTTTATAAGGACAGAGGGAAGATATCTTCACTTTCTGTTCAGATTAAGAAGAAAACATTTTCTTTTGCAGGGTAGGTTTTCTTTAGAAAATCCAATATTCATGCTGGCTTCCCTAGGGTTCTAGCTTTTAATATAGGGCTCTTCAGGCAAAAAGCCAGAATGTTAAATAAAATAACAGGATCTCTTTGGCTATGAATATGAGATGGAGGATAGCTACGACTCATAAAATTCACTGGCCTTACCTCTAATGGACTGCTTTTAGGTAACATCACACAGATTGCCATTTCAGAAGAGAGCATGGAAGACGCAGGGCTAGAATGGAACTCAGCTCTCACTGCTGCTGTCACTATGGCCACAGAGGAGGGAGTGAAGAAAGACCCAGAAGAAATTTCAGGTACTTTTTTCTGGTGCTCAGACATCTTTCAGGGTTTTATGACCTTATCACCATTATGATTATGGACACAAAAGACCTCTTAATGACTTTTGCTGTTTTTTCTTGTTCATATTAATACTAACTATAGCTGTAAACTTCTTTTATCCATGCAACAGCCCTGCAAAGTCATGTTTTATGCATGAAGAAATTGAGGTTCAGAAAGGTTCAACAACTTGCCTAATACCAGTCATACAACCTATAACTATTAGAGCTGAATTCAGCTGAGTTTGACTCTGTAGCTTATGCTTTTCATCCTCTCATACTGCCTTCAACTTTGGTAAATTTGCTAGATAAACCTGCAAGGTGTTAGAAGAAAAAGTTAGGTAGCAGGTGGTGTAGAAGATGGTGATTAATGATGATTCACTTAGAGGGGACCAGGAGAAACTTCACATCGTCCTCCAGTCATTTATTCATTTAACAAATATTTATGCTGCATATTTTCAATTGGTACTCTTACTAGATGCCAGACAGGTAAATGAAAAGACATAGCCTCTGATTTCAGGGAGCTTATAACAATGCCTGTGCAACCGTTTTGCTTTGTTTTTTTTAACTATATGACTAGGGCAAATATATCTTTATTTTTTTAGTATATCTTTAATTTAACATCTTTATTACTTTTAAAATTAAATTATTTAAATAATATCTAATATTTAATATTTAATTTAATATATTTATTAGAGGAAGGTTCCTGTTCCTTGTAGCCAGAGCAATGACTAATTGTGGGCATAACAAATTGAGGCAATTATCCCAAATCCCTAGTTTGCTAAAGAGGCCAAATAATTAGTACCAACTTAGAGAGGCAGCCACTATTCCAAAAGCTTCTTCCCTCTGTCCAGAAATGGCCTGACAAGGAATCCTTTCAAATTGAAATGATTTTGAATTTAATACATTGTAAAGGTGTGCCTAAGTATATGTAGCATCCCTTGCTTATCCTCTCTTATCTCTTTTGTACCAGAGGACACTTTGATGTTCTGGAAGGGAATAGCTGATGTAGGGCTGATGGAAGAGGTTGTATGCAATATACAGAAGGAAATAGAGGAGCTACTCAGGGGGGTTCAGCAGCGGCTCATCCAGGCTCCCTTCCAGGTCACAGGTAAGTGTATTAATCCTAGTAATATCAAGTAATTTATTAAACACTAACAACTGCAGATAGGCAGATCCTATTACCCTCATGTAAACACTAAGGGATAGGTATTATTATCCCCATTTTACAGATTAATAAACTAGGGCTTATAAAAGTTAAGTTACTTGTCCAAAGTTCATAACTGGGTTTGGAACTTAGGTCTGGCCATGCTTTCTCCATAGGTAATTTTTGCCTTTATCAATGTGTCAGAAAAGTAATTCTCTCAATTCTCTCTCACTCATATATATATGAGTATATATATTTAAATATGTTAATATAGATATAGCAAATCAAAATTAGTTATGCATATGATCAGTCTTGGTTAAAATTATTAAAAGTGCAATTAGAATAGTCCCATCATTTTCTAATTGTTCCATATTTATATATAGCACAACAGGGAGATGGTGGAACCTTTCTGTTTTAACTCGACAGACATGCCTTTTGTTTCAAATAGATGCTGCTGTTCTCAACAATGTGGCGCATACGTTTGGCCTAATGGACACAGTCAAGAAGGTTTTGGACAACAGAAGGAACCAAATAGAGCAAGGAGAAGAGCAGTTTCTCTATACTCTGACAGGTATGTATAATTTATGTCTCTTCTTAGGTGATATACTAATATCCTCAAGTCTTACCATTTCTTTGTTGAATCTGTTGGAACTAGCTTGCTTTTTTCTTCTTTCTCCCCCTACCCCAAATTGCTCTCTTTCTTTCTTTCAGTGCACATAGTATCCTATTTGGCTTTTTCTTATACAAAGCCCCAGGTGGAGTGAAGTGGTGGGAAACAGATGAGGCATAAAGGAAAAGAGAAAGAAGCCAGCACCCCAGTACTCCTTCTATAACTTGTAGAATTAGGGTGTCTGCTAGAATGCTCTATTAATCCAGAAATATTGATGGCAGAAGAAACAAATTGGCCTTTGTCTTTTTTACATTATTACTACTGTCTCTTGAGAGATGTACATTTAGCATATTCTCCATTATTTGTGATAATAAATTATGGTACAGGGATAATTTAACTCTTTTTATCAAGTACTTTGTGCTGGTCTCTACACTAGGTTTTAGAAATATAGTGTTGAATATTGAGGGCCTTCAAGGAATTCAAGGGAAAGCAGACATTGAAATAGAGTAAGTGCAAAAAGTAATCAGTTTTGTGACAGGCATATAGCAGGTATGATGGAGAAGCAAAGGGAGTTATCACTTATACCTAGAAAGAATCAAGAGAGGTTTTTGAAGGAGGTAAAGCAGGTGAAGGATACAAAACAGGTCAGAGGTATGGAGTATCATCAGTGTTTGAATGATGTTTTGGGTTGGCCAAAAAGTTCATATGTTTTTTTCCGCAAAATAATAGACACATTTTTCATTTTCACTAATAAGTATTGATTTGGATATTATGAATATGTCAGCTATCTCCTGCATGGTATAACGTTGATTGTTCTCAATTAAAATCTCATTGATTGCTATCAACTTCAACTGGGCTACCTGACTGTGGAGCATTATCCAGCAAGAAACTTACCACTTGTGACATGTTTGATTAGTCACAGCATCTTCTCTATACACTGCACAAATCTTGTTTTGCATTTCAGTTGCATTTTTACCTTTCTTGAAATAATAAAGTATAATATGCTAAAAATGTTGTATATTTTCTTCCATCCTCAATATTAAAATGGCTATACAAAAATTCAAAAATTTTGATTTTTTTTGAAGGAATTTCTTTTTCTTTTTTTTTTTTTTTTTAGATTTTATTTATTTATTTTTAGAAAGGGAAGGGAGGGAGAAAGAGAGAGAGAGAGAAACAAACATCAGTGTGCGGTTGCTGGGGGCCATGGCCTGCAACCTAGGCAACCTGTGCCCTGACTGGGAATCGAACCTGCAATGCCTGGTTCGCAGCCCACGCTCAATCCACTGAGCTACGCCAGCCAGGGCCCTGATGTTTTTTTTTAATGTATGGTGATATGACAGCTCTCACAATATGATCTAACAATATGGTTTTGAATGAAGTTAAAGATGACTAAGGGCTACTAGAGCCATCTTATATAAAAAAGCCAAGTGAACTTTTTGGCCAACTCAGTAGAATATGTTATAGTCAGTCATAAAGCCCAAAGGCAAGGAAGATATTTGATAAGAAAAGAACAATTTGGGTTGTTTTAAAGTTATTTTTATACCCAGTTTGTATTTTAAACTCTGTTTACCAAGTACTGTTAGAGATACCCTTTGCCATTTGATCCCCCCCCAGGACTGTTATCCCTATTCTACTGATGACCCAGTAGAGGAACAGGGAGGATACATTATTTGCCTAGGGCCACAAAAGTGAAACTGAAAGTAGAATTCTGTCTTCTTATTCCTAATCCAGCTTCTACCTTGAAACTTTACACCATCTGAAAAATAGTTTTTGTTAAGATGGTAGGCTTCTGGTTCCTTGTCCATATTATTTTTTAGGTAGTTTTAATTGTAGTGTACATCAAGTTTTGTTTTCTGATTTTTCACTATGACATTAATCTTTTTCCAGGTTGCTACATAGTACTTGACCTAGACATTCTCCTACCAAAACATTTAAAAAATTTTTTTTAAATTTACTTTTAGCCCTGGCTGGTGTGGCTCAGTGGATTGAGTGCTGGCCTGCAAACCAAAGGGCCACCAGTTTGATTCCCACTCAAGACACATGCCTGAGTGGCAGACCAGGTCCCCAGTAGGGGGCGCACGAGAGGCAGCCACACATTGATGTTTCTCTCCCTCTCTTTCTCTCTCCCTTCCCCTCTAAAAATAAATGAAATCTTAAAAAAAAAAAAGGATTTAGAGAGAGAAGAAAGGAGGGAGGAAAAGAGGGAGAGAAATATCAGTGTGTGAGGGAAACATCGATAGACACATCAATCAGTTTGCCTTTTGCATGCCCCCAACTGGGGACCTGGCCTGCAAACCAGGCATGTGTCCTGACTGGGAACTGAACCAGCAACCTCTCAGTTTGAAGGCCAGCACTTAGTCCACTGAGCCACACCAGCCAGGGCTAGATACTTAAATTTTCAAACTCTTCTTCAGTAGCTTATTTTGTGACATTGGATTTCTGTGCATATAGTTTTTAAAAATTTTTTTTATTTATTTTGGAGAGAAGGGGTGGGGGGAGAGAGAAACATCAATTTATTGTTTCACTTATTTATGTATTCATTGATTGATTCTAAAATGTACCCTGACTGGAAATCAAACCTACAACCTTAGCATATCGGTATGACTCTCTAATCACCTGAGTACCCAACCAGGCCCTAACTTTTTCTTTTTATGTCCTATTAAACTATTTCCCAGGACTAAGCTTAAGGTTAAATAGTACTTATAATTTGTTTTATGTGTTCCTGTGGATTACTGTCAAATTTCCAAGATTATACCAATTTATGTCACCAGTTTGAACTCACCAACATTGGGCATTTATAATAGTACCTCACTTAACTTTTCAGAAATTCCTGGACAGTGTGACTCAGTTGGTTAAATGTCGTCCCATAAACCAAAAGGCTGAGGGTTCAATTCTTGGTCAGGGAAGTGCCTAGGTTGCAGATTTGGTTGTGGTTGGGGTGCATATGAGATCATTGTTTCTCTCACATTGATGTTTCTCTCCCTCTCTCTTTCTCCCTCCCTTCCCCTCTCTAAAATCAGTGAGCATGTCCTCGGGTGAGGATAAAAAGAAATCACCCAATGTAGTTTCTTCTTAAAAACAATGAAGCGACTTTCCTGAGACTACATAGTGGCAAGACCAGAATAAGACCCCAGGTCTCCTCCTTCCTATTTACTATTCCCAAGATTACAGTTCCCTTCACACAATCTTTCTTTTTTTCTTTTCATAGACTTGGAACGCCAGCTGGAAGAGCAGAAGAAGCAAGCTCAGGATCACAGGCTGAAATCCCAGACAGTTCAAAATGTGGTATTGATGCCTGTGAGCACGCCTAAGCCTCCAAAAAGGCCCCGGCTCCAGCGGCCAGCCTCCACCACCGTCCTGAGCCCTTCTCCTCCTGTCCAGCAGCCTCAGTTCACAGTCATCTCACCTATTACTATCACCCCAGTGGGTCAGTCATTTTCCATGGGCAATATTCCAGTGGCCACTCTCAGCCAGGGCTCCAGCCCTGTGACTGTCCACACACTGCCTTCTGGCCCTCAGCTCTTCCGCTATGCCACAGTGGTCTCCTCTGCCAAGAGCAGCTCACCAGACACAGTGACCATTCACCCTTCATCTAGCTTGACGCTGCTAAGCTCTACTGCTATGCAGGATGGGAGTACCCTGGGCAACATGACCACAATGGTGAGCCCTGTGGAGTTGGTGGCCATGGAGTCCGGCCTGACCTCGACAATACAGGCTGTTGAAAGCACCTCAGAGGATGGGCAGACCATCATTGAGATTGACCCAGCCCCAGACCCAGAGGCTGAGGACACTGAGGGCAAAGCAGTCATTTTGGAGACAGAGCTGAGGACTGAGGATAAAGTTGTGGCTGAGATGGAAGAACATCAGCATCAAGTCCACAATGTGGAAATTGTGGTCTTAGAGGATTAACTGGGGAGATCGGGGCCAGGAGATATGTTTCAGTTTTAAATTTTAATTATTTGTTTACTTTTATCATTGTCCCACTCATTTCCACATAGGATCCTTTAAAAAAAAAATCTCGTTGCTGTAACTGAAAATGTTGGGTACCTCCCACCCCCTCATTGAAAGAATGGACAAAATCAAGCTGCCCTTCCAGAAGTTGAGAGTAGGTTACTCAATGTCCTCATCCTCTTACACCAAGAAAGTTATTTCTTTCAGGGGAGGCATCAAGATAACCAGAAATCCTATCCTGAAAACCCTTTCCAGGCTAGTCTAGCTGTGTATGCATGTGGTTTTATTCTTGTAAAGATGCATTGACCAAACTCTGGAACACAGACCTGATACTGGAAGGCAACCCACTTACACACGGATGCAGAAGGATAGTTCATTTTGTATCCTGGAATGGGCCCTCAGAGGCCAGTGCAAAACTCTGAAACAAAGGAAGTTGAATTCTGCTTGAAGGGGAACTCAGTTGCTTGGAGCAGCAGCTTAAAAAGGGAAGTGCTTTGGCCAGGATGGGGCAAAGAAATTATCTTATTTCCCAAAGTGTAACTGATACCTCTTGATATTTCTGAGGGTTACCACTATGGGTGCTATTTTGAGGGGAGGCCACTGATAAGTGGAAGGGTACATTGCCATGGAGCAAGTAGCATCAGGAGAAATAGAAATCCAGGGATGTCATAGCTGTGCTTTGGGATTCAAGCCTACCTGGCCCCAACTTTGTCAAAGCACTTACCTTTCTAAACTAGGATCAGTCCGTTTATTTACGAACTGTGATGTGGTGTAAATTGCTCTTGGACTATGGCTGTTGTGGTGGTTGGGCCTCCAAGGCCGTCATTTTTATTGCATAACTCCAGGAGCAGGGGAGTTCCTCATCCAGACCAGCTGCCCTTTTTGGTGGGGCTCTTTTTTGGTTTTGAAACCAAAAGCATCCACTCATTTGGTGCTTCCTCTTGTTCTACCCTCTGTTTCTCAACTGTTAATGACATCTGCCTCCTGGATCCCACGCTCTTCAGCTCTTTGGCTGATTTGGAGAACAGTGACAGGTGCCTGCCTTCATCCCCTTTTAGATTCATTTGTACCACAGATGTTTCTGTGAGATTGAACTCATTAAAAAAAACAAACAAAAAAAACCCTTAGCTTGGGAGGAAGACTAAATACCCCCAGCCTATCCTGAGGCACTGAGTGGATGTCTCCTCCTGAGCAAGCTGGACTCCCTGGGAAAGAAGCATTGTCCGCAACATTATATTATAGGAAATGTACCAAGAATGTCAACAATAATGTCTTTGGGGTGGGAGGGTGTATCTTTCTTTTTTTTTTCTTTTTTTACTGTTGTTTGTATATTTAGAGCTGGGCCATTTTCTGTGTTGTGATTCCTTCTCTTTGACCATCTTCAGTGTTTGGGGCAAGAGTGGACCCTGTTTTTTCTTTCTTTTGGTTGTATTGTTTACTGCACTAGGAAAAATATAGGGAAACCGCAGACAGTTTAAAGGAAAAATAGGTAAAAAAGAAAGCACATACCTTAGGAGTGGGAGTTTTTGTTTTGTTTTTTAATTAAAAGCAAAACTTTGACCTGTAGTTTCCTTTTTTTTTCCAAGAAGCCACCCACTTGAAGCGATGTTTTTCCAACGGTTGTTGGAAACCCTGTTGTCAAGCAAGTGAAAACAGTTCTGTCCCTCAGATAGCTGTATATAGCTGGAGAAGCCCTCTAACTTGGAGGGTCAATCATAAAAGCCTTAATAAAGGGTGAGATTTCTGAACCCCATAGAGTTGTGATTTTCAGCTTTAAAATTGGGGCTTTATTTTTTTTTTTCAAAACATTTCAGAGACATAGTGGTAAGCTTAGAACAAACCTTTGGCTCTTTATATATCTTTAGTGAGGAAAGTGGCTTTTATTTCTTGCTTTTTTTAGGTTTCCTGTTGGTACATAAACAAAACCAGTATTTCTCTCTAAGGCTAAAACTGTTACTTGAAGCTAAAAAGGCATATCATTTCTAATGTGGTTTTTAGGGACACTTTTCTCTTTCCCAGAGACAAGAGGCCCAATTCAGAAGAGGAGGAAAATACCCACATGCTAGGTTCCTTTATCCCCTCCATCAGAGCTATTGGTAGTATTTTAATGTAGTATGAGCATCGTGCTTCCAAAGTCAAGAGATCTCCTCCTAAGGACAGAGCCTGTTTGCTTTTATTTTCTGAATATTCCAGCTGGTGGAAATACACAAGCTTTGTTGTTTTCCTGGTCTTCCGATAGCCTGTCATTATTGCTACGTGCTATGGCACCCACTGTTGAGTTGGGGGGTTCCCTTTCAGGTCCAGTCCAGATGATCTCAGATGGGGGAAATATATGCAAGCCATTTGTCTGTGCAGAAGCATTTGCAATGAATCATTCCTCAGGCTGACTTGGCAGTAGCCATCTTTCTGTTCATTCATTCAATAAACATTTATAAGTATGATCTATGTGCCAGGCTTTGTGCTAGGCACTGGCAGTACAGAGGTGAAAGCACATTCCCTGCCGTCAAAAAGTTCATACTCTAGAGACTGTGTAGAATTTGTATATGAATATAATTGGTTTCCTTTGTAATCCTATGTATTTTATTTCATGCATTGAAAAGCATTATTCTGAGAATTGATCCATAGGTGTCAGTGGTACAAAAAGGTTAAACCCTTCTCTAGTGAGATACTGAAACAGACCATCATATTGGAATAAATGCAATGATAGAGCTCTTGGCTGGGAGCTAAGAAAACAAAGGGCCCTGGCTGGGTAGCCCGGTTGGTTAGAGCATTGTCCTCATATGCCAAGGTTGTGGGTTCAACCTCTGGTCAGGGCACATACAAGAATCAACCAATGAATGCATAAAAGTAATGTGGAACAACAAATTGATGTCTCTCTCAAGTCAATCAATAAATAAGTTAGGGGGCCTCTGGCTGGTGTGGTTCAGTGGTTGAGTGCCAGCCTACAAATCAAATGGTCTCCGGTTTGATTCCCAGTCTAGAGCATATTCCTGGGTTGTGGGCCTGGTCCCCAGTAGGGGATGTGCAAGAGGTAACCACATTGATGTTTCTCTCTCTTTCTCCCTTCCCCTCTCTAAAAAATAAAATCTTAAAAAAAAAAAATAAGTGAAGGGGAATAAAAGAAAACAAAGGATCAAGCACCTCCAGTTTGGGGGCAGGGGTCAACAAATATGGGAGTACTTCCTGAAGGTGTGACCTTAAACTGTTTTAGGAGACACAATTTTAGCTAGGTTTTGCGGGGTTATTTTGTACTCTGTTTTCAAGTAGTTGTGTTTGTTTATACAAGAGGAAAAAAATCCTTAGCCTTGCTGCTTTTGCCTCCAGAGCCAGGCAGTCAGTAGCACAGGCAGTTTCTCCTAAGAGTACCCTACTGGAGAAAGCCAAATCGTGTGTCAGCTTCTCTTGAGTTTCAGTGAGATGAATCCAATGTAGGACTGGAGTTTAGCTGATGGACAATAAATGTCCAAACCTTCCTGTCATGTGGAATCTGCAAGGGCCTCAGAGTGAGCTCTACAACTGTCTCACCTTGGCCAAGTCCATGTTTGGCCCTCACCTTGTTCTTTTCCCCATTTCAGCCTCCTTCCCTGACCCAAACCCCACAAAACAAAACAAAAAAGTCTCCCAGTTTTTCTAAAGTATAAAATGGACAATACTTGTTCACTGCAGTTTTGGGTTTGTTTCTTTTTACACCTTTGTCCACGTTAGGGAAGGAGAAGCAATGTTAATCCCAATACCTTGGAAGTTAATACTCTGTTCAGTTAATAATGATACTCTTTAGTGGAGGCATTTTATCCCGTTTTCATAAAAGGCATGAAAGGTAAGTTTGTATGGTAGGAACTATTGGTAACATTTGATTATAAAAATAGCAAATCAAGCATAAACTATGACATTACTAGTTTATTGAGTTATAACTGGTCCAGGTCAAGGAAGGAAGGATAAAGAAAAGGTTGAATTCTGAAAATAGGCATGAGGTTGTGATTCATTTTGGGCCATACTCCTGAGGAAATAGTCCTTTCTGAGAAAAAATTCAGATGCTAGGCCTGTCCCTGAATTTTCAAATATCTAGTACAGTTCCCTCACACTTAGGATACCTCCTTCCTGGGAAATTCTTATGTGGTTTGCGATGTACTACAATAACCATCAAGGTGGCTATGCTATATAAGGGACTGCACAGGATCAGTTCTGCTGGACTTGGACTCTCTGTCCCTGGGATTTCTCTTCTTAGGTAGCCCTAATTGAGTCCTTTCCAGGTTTCCTCCTTAATTTTGGAACATCTTTCTTTGTCCTGAGCTATGCAATTTGACTTCCTCTGGAAGGTTCTACTTTCCTACAACTTCCTTATTCATATTCCTATTGCCCTAACTAAAACACATTTGGTTCCCAATTCTGCCATGTCAGTAACTCAGCTTTAGATCATCGTTTCTCATGGTACCCCAAGAACCCAAACTCGGCATACATCCAGACACGGCTGTCTTTACTACCTAAAACAGCCTTTTTCACTCCATCAATCACCTGAATTGAAGTACCTTTGGGATGTACATGTGCAGCGACTGTAGGTAAGATCCCCAGCACACACAGATCTAAAACCTGTCTTTTATACCTGATTGATTTTCTACCTATGGTGACCCAGGCTAAGTCATGCCTGTTTCCTGGATAAGTTCTCTCCCTCCCTCCTACTCCCTCCCTTGATTTTTTGGAGAAATACCAGTTGTTCCACTTATTTTTTTAAAGATTTATTTATTTTTAGAGAGGGAAGGGAGGGAGAAAGAGAGAGAGAGAGAAACATCAATGTGTGGTTGCTGGGGGCCGTGGCCTGCAACCCCGGTATGTGGCCTGACTGGGAATCGAACCTTTGACACTGTCCCACTTATTTTTTTACTTTTTAAAATATATTTTATTGATTATACTATACAGTTGTCCCAATTTTTCCCCCTTTGCCCCCTTCCACCCAGTACCCCCATTCCCTCCAGCATTCTCCCCTTCCATGGACTAAGGTTCATGTCCATGGGTCATGCACATAAGTTCTTTGGCTACTCCATTTCCTACACCGTTCTATACTTCCTCCTATCTATTCTGTACCTTTCATTTTTTACTTCTTAATCCTTGCACCTTTTCCCCATTCTTTCCCTCCTTCCTCCCAACTGATAACCCTCCACAAGATCTCCATATTTATGATTCTGTTTCTATTCCTCTTGTTTGCTTAGTTTTTTAGATTAAGTTGTTGATAGTTATAAATTTATTGCCATTTAATATTTGTAGTTTTGATCTTTTTCTTATATAATTCCCTTTAACATTTTATATAATAATGGTTTAGTGATGATAAACTTTAGTTTTACCTTGTATGGGAAGCACTTTATCTGCCCTTCAATTCTAAATTGATAGCTTTGCTGGATAGAGTAATCTAGGTTGTAGGTCCTTGCTTTTCATCACTTTGAATACTTCTTGCCAGTACCTTCTAGCCTGCAAAGTTTCTTTCAAGAAATCAGCTGATAGTCTTATGGGAAATCCTTTGTAGGTAACTGTCTGCTTTTCTCTTACTGCTTTTAAGATTCTCTCTTTATCTTTAACCTTTGACATTTTAATTATGGTGTGTCTTGGTGTGGTCCTCTTTGACTCCATCTTGTTTGGGACTCTGTGTGCTTCCTGGACTTGTATGTGTGTTTCCTTCACCAAATTAGGGAAGTTTTCTTTCATTATTTTTCAAGTAGATTTCCAATTTCTTGCTCTTGCTCTTCTCCTTCTGGCACCCCTATGATTCAGATGTTGGTATATTTGTCAATGTCCCAGAGGCTCCTTAGCCTATCCTTGTTTTTTGAATTCATTTTTCTCCTTGCTATTCTGATTGAATGTTTTATTTCTTCCTTGTGTTCCAAATCACTGATACTCAGTTTCATCCCCTCCACTGTTGGTTTCTGTAGATTTTTCTTTATTTCACTTATGCAACCTTCATTTATGCCTGGGTCTTTTTGTTGTTGTTGTTGAAGTACCCAGTGAGTTCCTTGAGCATCCTGATAACCAGTGTTTTGAACTCTACATGATAGATTGCTTATCTCCATTTTGTTTAGTTCTTTTTCTGGAGTTTTGTTCTTTCATTTGAGCCATATTTCTTTGTCTTCTCATTTTAGCTGCCCCCTGTATTTGTTTCCATGTATTAGGCAGAGCTGCTTTGACTCCCTGTCTTAGTAGTATGGCCTATGATAGAAAAAGTGTACCTGCCTGGATGAACATGGTTTCTTTAAATCCTTGGTTGTCAGACTTCCATACAGCTTGATTTTCTGATTTTTCTGGCTAATACTTGTTTTGTAGTCTATTTGTTGTAATTTTTGCTGTAGTTGTGCAAAGAGGCAAGGTATTTTTTTTAAGATTTTATTTATTTATTTTTAGAGAGATAGGAAGGGAGGGAGAAAGAGAGGGAGAGAAACATCAATGTGTGGTTGCCTCTCACTGGCTCCCACTGGGGACCTGGCCCACAACCTAGGCATGTGCCCTGACTGGGAGTCAAACTGGTGGCCCTTTGGTTTGCAGCCTGTGCTCAATCCACTGAGCTACACCAGTCAAGGCTGAAAGTCTTATCCTCATCCGGCAGTGCCATTCTTCCAAGCAGGTCCTGTTGTTCTATTTATATATGCATTCATTTGTTGCTTTTTGTATTGTATATGCCCTGATTGGATATCGAACTCACAATCTAGGCATATCAGGACAATGCTCTAACCAACCGAGCTACCTGACCAGGGCCTGGTTAAATTCTTTAAGCCCATTATGATTCCTACTGCCTATTCCTGCTATGTCTTATGAACCTTTCAGTCTAAAGACATTTGGTGCTCTCTCAACCTAAAGTAGACCAGACCCTTTTTAGAAATTGATTCTAGTTTTTCCACTTTCTGTACTTTACTGATAGTTATGGCTTGTGATGTGGTATACATGGATTTATTTTTCTAGTTTGAGGACAAGAATAAACAATTGTATTGGATTACATATAAGGGTATGTGTGAGGCTGGGTAATGACCCAAAAGATAAAGTTCCTCACTGTGCTTTGTAGGAGCTTCTCCCTAAGGAAAGCATGCCCAGGGGAGGTATATCTGCATTTCAAAGTGTAAGGTTTTTGTAAACTTCTGTCATGTTTTGTCTAAAGAAGTCTATGCATTATAGAACAAACTAGAATTCCACAGTCCTGGCTCAGCCTGAAGATTTATTTTGGTTGGCCTATGTTTTTGTTTGTTTTAATTTTTAATTGAAGTATAAATGCGTACAGGAAAGTCACAAGTCACCGTGCAATTTGATACACTTAACGAACTGAACACACCCATAAAAATCAGCTTCTAGATCAAGGAAAAAAAGTTACCACTACCTCACCCAGCCAGAGTAACCACTATCTAGCTCTCTAACACCATAGCTTAGTTTTACCTGTTTTTGAACTCTTTTGTGACTGCCTTTTTTTCACTCAACATTTATATTGTGAGATTCACCTGTAATGTGAAATTGTAGTTGGTTCCTTCTCATTGCTCTGTAGAAACTGTTACTATGCCACAGCTGATCTACTTTGTTTTCTTATTGATTTTAGAAGGAGGA